TGGTCCCCGAGGCATGCCAGGATTGAAGGGGGACCCTGGTCCTTCCCTAGCAGCACCATCAGTAATTATTTCGCCTTCAAAATTGGTTATTAATGAAAATCATCTCGCCATTTTGGTTTGCTCTGCCTCTGGATACCCGCGACCTGTTATTACATGGAGCAAAGCAAATGGCTCTTTACCGAAAGATAGATTTACTGTCGACAACAGCGGAAAACTTAAGCTAACTAATGTGACTTCAGATGATAGTGGCACTTATCAATGCAAAGCTACCAACATTTTTGGTAGCGAACAAAGCCGATCAACAGTTGAAGTAAACTTTAGACCTCGAGTGACATTGGCCATTGGACCAGTTATTAAAAAGATAGGCACTGACATTGTTTTGCCAAAATGTCACGCAACCGGAAGTCCTAAACCAAAAATTACGTGGTCAAAGTCAGTTGGTTCATTGCATAAGACCCGTGCCGTTATCAAAGATGGACAATTGTCTTTGTTTAGATCTAAGAAAGAGGATTCTGGGACATATTTGTGCAAAGCTGAGAATCGTGTCGGTTCCGTTATCAAACGAACAATTCTTATTGTTGTTGAGCTACCGAGATTCACTGTTACACCTCCTTCATCTTACGGCACCCTTCCTGGAAAGACTATTCACTTGAATTGTAGTGCTGCAGGAGAACCTAAACCAGTCATTACATGGAGAAGAGAAAATGGTGTTCTTCCTATTGGCAGGCATGAAGTAAGAGATGGTTCTTTGATCCTCAAAGATTCCAAAACAACAGATTCGGGTGTGTACATTTGTACTGCAACAGGTGCTGGTATGTTTAAGGAAGTGTCCAGGTCGACAGTTAAGGTGCTTCCGCGCTGCCCAGGGTTGAATGTATCAGCAGACATGCTTATAAATAGTRAGTATTTTAAATCAGATTAAACGCTCTAAAACACCTTTCGCGGTTTATAGGGCGGCTACAGTGTCATGATTTTGAAAATGGCTTTCTTTTTGCATACGAAAAGAAAKGTCGGTTAAGATGAGAAAAGTCATTAATAGTTTCATTTGTTTTTATTTTTAAGCGACATTCAGTCCAAGTGGTTCATGGCATCTTGGTTCTGTTCAGTCTTATTTTGTCGTTTATAGTGGCGAGTACATGATTCGAGCGGGAGGAGCTCGTGGAGGAACTCATAAGTATAACCATGGCTGGAAACCTGGCACGTACTATGGCGGCAAGGGGGCGACAATGGAAGGAAAATTCAACTTAAAGGCCTGCACAAGAATCAACATTGTTGTTGGACAACGAGGAGGAAATTCAGTAGAACTGAATGGGGGAAAAAAGTCTACTCAAACTGCAGAACAGCTGGGACTATCGGTTGAAGATAATGCTGGGACGGGCGGGGGCGGTGGAAGTTTTGTATATACAACAGAGAATAAGCTATTGCTTGCCGCTGGGGGTGGGGGAGGGGCCTCTTCAGGCTATAACGGCGTTGAGGGTCAATCAGGAACTGCAGGATCTTCCAGCAATGGAACAACTTCCTCGAAATCACGTGCGGGAGGAGCTAATGGTAACCCGGGCATCTGTAATTCTGGTGGTGCTAGTTATCACGGAGGGGTAGGGGCGGGATGGAATGGTCAAGGATGCAAAAGAAAAGGGGTACAACATGGTGGGCCTGGTGGGTCACGTGCCCAAGGTTGGGTGGGAGGTCAAGCTGGTAAGATGAACAGTGGGTCTAACGGAGGTCCTGCTCCAGGTGCAGTTGGAGGATATGGTGGCGGAGGTGGTGGCTCCGAGGATAATGGCGCCTCTGGAGGAGGGGGAGGGTATTCTGGAGGAGGAAGTGGTACACATGAGAAGCAAGCCGGTGGGGGAGGTGGTTCGTATTGCAGTGGATCAAGCTGCATTGGAAAAACTGGTGGAAACTCTAATGACAASGGTTTTGTTCAAATATACTATTTGGATACGCGCCATAGTAAATAAAGTCCATCAGTATTGATTATCAGGACATACTTGCAAAGAAACAATATTGGCAAATGGTAGGTTATTCCATGTAGATTCACTTTGAGTYGAGTGTTCGACGGTAAACATTTCATGCAGACTCAAAAAAGTATTAATTCCCGTTCTCCAGTCTGAATAAATCCATGTAATCATAATTGGCTATCAGGSGATATAGGAATTAATTTTTGTCGCCTCTGAGGCTATCATTTGGTGAAAATATACAAAATTGCTATTATGAAAATTGGCTTGAAATGAAATGATCTTGAAATGATCAAAAAAAAAAAAAAAA